AAAAATATTTATTTTATCGCAAATACTTGCTTTTCATGTTTTTCTATCTCTAATATTTATATTCGTAGTTTGTGATAAATTTTAATTATTTTTTTATAAAAAAAAATATTTTTTATTTTATTTAATTTTATTTATTATTTAATTATTATTTCTATCGCAAAGATTTATTAAATTGTTATTACCTTTGATCGGTAGAATTTATTAATTATAAACACAATATATTTCAAATACGCCTTTTTTTATTGCTTTGATGTGTTTATCTTAATATAAAAAACGAATTTTTTTTAATTTTTACAATTTTTGAACAATAAATTGTAATTATTTTGTTTCCAAAACTGTACACTCAAATTTTTTAAAATTTTTTTGAATTTTTTTAAATTTTTTAAAATTTTTTGTATTAGTTATAATATACAAAAAATAAACAGATTGAATAAATTAGCTTGCAGTAGTTTGTAAAGTATTTTTTAATGGAAATATATATATATATTTTTATAAACACAGAATTAAAAATATATTGAATTAAATTTCACTTTAAAAATTGCAAACGTAAGTTAATAATAAAATTCCTATACGAATAAAATTTTTTTTATAATTATTCTCATATTCGCAGTTGAGTTGTATAATTCAAACCGATACACACCATGTTTTTATATTTAGTGTTTAAAAAATATTTCTTTAAAAATTGTACTAAATAACTTACCGTAAATAAATGTTATAAATTTATAATTTAAAAATATTATTTATATTAATTATCAGTAAATTTGTTTAAAATAAAAATCAACTGTAATGCAAAACTAATTTTTATTTTTAAATATATTAAAAATTATTTTAGTAAAATATGGTTAAGTAATTTTAACTGTAATAAAGTTATTAAATTTTTTTTTTTTTTTTTGTATATTTAAAACAAAACTACTTTGGAAATAATTAATAGTAAACGATTTAAAAATTTGCTGCGTTTAAAATTGTTAGTTTAGACGCATTCTTTGGAAGTTCAAAATTGTTACTAAATTTGAATGTCAATTCAATGCTAAGAAAATATAAGTAAAATGTTTAAAGCAAACGTTATATACAAATTAAATTAACGCATTTTCCAATCGACAATATTTACAATTTTCTTTTGCAACCGCTGACACAGTAGACTTCATGATTGTTACCTTTTAATTTATTTACCTACTATGGTTTTCAGTGGCTTAAAAGATTAGACTGAACTTCTGCCACAAAGACAGAACCAACACATTACATTTACGTGCAAAAATATACTATTTTACTTAATAGAATTATTATAATAATAGTTTATAAATAAAAATTTATAAATATATAGTTTAAGTATACCTAAATATAATAACAATGTAACGTGCTAAGCAATATCTCTAAAACTCTAACACTTAAAAGTCTAAGCCTTAAAGCTTTTCAATGTTATAATAAAACCTAAATAAGAGCCCACAACTTGAATACTAATTTGTAAATTTTATGATTGGATCAAGTACATAGATCCGGGTACGCCGAGTCGCACACGACCTACAACAACAACCTCACAGATCTTTTAAATATGTCAGCACTAAACAGAATAAAGCAACAAATTAATTATTATGTTGAATTATTATTTTGAAGCTATTTTGAGCTAGTGCCTTTAAGCAGTTATACTCTTTTTTAACTTGAAATATTTTCAAAACTTGATTTGATTATTGTTTATCACTTCCTCAGACTAAGCAATAATTAACCTCAAATCTGCATACCTCCGCGAGGAGCCTGTAACCATTTTGAGATTTGATAACGCGATGTTGATAAGTCTGTCAGTTTTCGTAAATAATAATAATTTACCAAATTAAATTATATTCAATTATATTAAAGACAACTGAATGGTATTAATGTCTACGCCAATATAAAATTTATATCTTATAAACGATATATATATAATATATATATATATAATTTATAAGATATCTGAAGATATCTAGTTTTTAGAACAAATGTGAGACAATAAATATTTCGTTAAGTGCTTGACAGTTAATCAGAATTTATTCTAAACAAAAATTATCAGCGTCCCAGAATAGTATTCTAAAATTGCATAAAAATTTAAAAATTATTAAAATAAATTGTACCCAAACTCCTCACAACTAACCAGATTGCTTTCAAGAAACTATATACCTAAAGAGAACAAACCAAAATTAATCTCACGAACATCCCGATATTATGCCATAATTCTACAAAATATTAAAAATTTGGGTATTACCAACATATTCACCATTCAATAGCTACAATAGAAAAGGGAACGTTTAGGTATTATGTAAACATAGATAATACAGGGAAGGATGTTAGTATTTTTTTTATTTCTGATAACAGAAGTTGTGAAGTGATGGGAGAGTGACGTTAGTTATATACCTCAAATTATAAGATTTACTGATAAAAATGTAGACACCAATTTAAAACTCAGATATTATTAACATTACTACCGAATCAGTACATTCTATTAATGATGTTAAAATGTAGATACAGAGCCAATAATCTAGAAATGAATAATTTGCTGACACTTACTTTTTTTTCACTAAGTTAGGTCTATCTGCCTTGGTGCAATGACGGACGAGTGCTGATATTACTGCTTGTCACATTCGTTCTAATTATACAAACTTAATCTAAATTAGAACAAGAATACTACTTTATCTTCTATTTTATTCCCATTTGATATATTTATTGGTATCTGAATATCTCAACGAGGGATAGTTTGGTCTTTATTAAAAACTCTGATTGTCTGCTGTTAGACTAACGTTAGTTAGTGCTCTAGTCCATTTGAAACCTACTTCTTTATTATATTTAAATCTAAGCTACACAACGCAAACCAAACTACGCATAATACCATCCAAATATGTAGTGTGAATATAATCGATATGAACAGGAAACCTTACAAAGCTCTTACATACGAATATAAGCATTAATTTTTTTAACGGTCACTGAGTATTATTGTGAAATTCTCACCCTAATATATTCGCGTATTTATTACTTTCCTTTTATATATATATATTAGTCCATATGTATATATTATAGTGATAGGCAAGAAATGAAATTAACTTTGGAATATTGAATCCAGTTTGTACATCAAGTGAGTACATTTTTTATTACTGATTTGCTTTTATTTTTGAAACAATTATACGTTTTCCTATTGTTTACTTTACTTATATATTTTTTAACATTGAAATTGACCTTTTTCGTACATGTATACAATGTTTAAGTGGATTAACAAAGTAAAGGATATATGTATATATTCGAGTATGTAGTTCACTGGAAGTCACTGAAACCAACATAAATTATGAATATACTCACTACTCGCTACTAATTCATTCAATGAGCTTCAAATGCTATAGTTTTAATTATTTTTTTTTCCTAATTAATTTATGTTTTTTTTTTAACTTTAATTTAATATTAATTACTGTACAAATTACTTACAATCTCATAAATTAATCTTTATTTAATTTTTAAAAGTTTTTCTTCTATTAAGATATACACTAAGTTTAGGTTTCGATATGTATACGAATGTACTAAAATATTTAACTTATGACCATTGAATTTTTATGAATGGTATTTGCATACAAAAAGCCTTTGGTTTATTGTTAAAATTAAAAAAAAAAGAAAAAACAAATTAATAAATATTAAAAATAAATAATAATTTATTAAAACAAATATATGAATTATTTGACTACAATACATATATATGAGCGTACTAAACATAAGGTGGGATATTAAATAATTAAATATACTTTTTATACAAAACTATAAGGCAAACATAATTTTTTTTAAAGAATTTATTTTAAAAAGCGAAAAACCTTAACTCACCAGTTGTAGAAATGCCAGAGACACGTTCGAATGTCGATTCTGTAGTTTTATGTAATGTAGTTACAGTATCGGCAAGGTAATCTGAAAATTTAATGTATGGTGTTATACACAATATATGTAAAGTATATGCATAGTGTATTGTTCATATTTAAATATTCAATTAAATTTAAATTAAAATACCAATAAACAATTTAGGTTATTAGGTTGGACAAAAAGTATTCAACGTTGACTTTAAAGTACTATAAGTGTTTATCGGTTTTTTCACTTAACAATTTATTGTTGTACTAATTATAGCTAGAAATTATGATAAATAAATCTAAACAGACGGGTCTAAGATGGACAAACGCATTGGAGCCGGAATCTTTTCTCCGGACCTAAGTAATTAGCAGGTATGTAAGGAATTTATTAACGCACTAAGTGGGAGGTCCAAGGTAAATCTAGTTTGGGTTCCTGGTCATTCTAATATAGTAGGAAAAAACGCGTACACGAGCTTGCTAGTCTGGGCGCCTCTTCTACGGACACCTCTATTTTATACCTCTATTTTAAAGGTTTAATTTATAACCAATTCTAGCGACAGATAAATAGTGATCAGCATGGAGCTACGCTTGACCTACCTTGCGGTATCTCCTACAATATATGTCTACCAACTCTCGAAAAAAGGACATCACAACACCTATTATATCTATGTACAGGCTTGACCAGAACTAGGCTTAAGTATCTGGGGGCCCTCTTCTTTAACACACTCGGCGATATCTGCAGCATTTGCATTGGTCAGACTCTTGTCGTTATAAATGCCTATGGCTGGTTCTAGCTTGATCTTTTCTTTTCCACCCATTATTACGAGGATTTATGGTTTCAAAATGGCTTTCGTAACTAATTGAGAAGGATTCGTTCCTCCCTCCGACACAACTAACTAAAGCTTTAAAAACAAACGTTACATAAACTTATTAACTATCCAAAAAGAAATGATAGAATAGTTATTTCTACAGGATTGGAAAAATTAGCTGGGTCTTCTCGGTTTAAGTTAGAACTTAAATCCTTTATCATTTTAGATCATTAAAACTTAAAATTATTTAACTTGGTACAAGGAGATTTGATTACATCACTTTCTGAAGATTATATGCGTAAGTAGCTATGCCATTTCTGGCATATTCGAATATATCTTTCGAACACTATGGCGACTTTTTTCTGAAGATTGTTCTTAGCTTATTAATACAAACCGGTACTGTGTGCCATTTTTAGAATACAATGAAAGGCAAAAATTAGTATGTATGGGTTTGAAAAATAAGCACAGACAATTGAGCTCTTCCTACGAAAATACCCTACGAAATAAATACTAGATGCTAGATGCTATACTAGATGAAGGTAGATTTATCTATATTCTAACCTACGCTCTCTTGTAGTTCCAAAAATATTCAGTTTCAGAGAACATTTCAAAAAGCTGTTCCTTGAAATCACTTTATTACAATTAAATTAACTATTTTTATAAAAGATGCAAGAAAGACCAACAAAAACTATTTTTTTGTATTTAAAAATATATTTTCATAAAAACAAACAATAAATAAAAATATTATCTTAAAAATAAAGTTGATTTCAAATTTAGTACACAAGGACTAACCTTTAATATCGGAAGTAGTATGCAATACTTGCTCTTCTTCGTGTTTTTCGCTCTTAATATCAATTGGTGTAGGGGGTGGAGTTTGGGAATGTGGTATATCAGCTTCTACATTATTTATAAAACAATTTACTAGATATTACTGTATTAATTATATTGTGTTTTTTATATAAATACCTTTCATTTTAAGCTCATCACTGATTTCAATTAAGCCTTCGCTCATTTTTTTGGTAATGGTTTCTTGTACAGATTTGCAAAATTCAGCATCAGTAAGTGATTTACGTGGCTCAATTGGCATTGGCGGTGCTAGTTCATCGCTAATTAAGGTCGTTGTTTCAATTTCAATAGACCATTTTTGTTCACTCGGTAATTGGGTACGTTGTTCCATTGTTAAAAATTCACTGGTAAGTTTTAGAGCATCTTTTGTGGTATCTACTGTTGAAACTATTTTAACTGTATCTTTAACAGAATCTATCACTTTTTCTGGTACAGTAACTTTGATACTTTCCTTTGGTATAATTTCTTTATCAAGAACTTTGTCTGGTACAGTAACTTTGATACTTTCCTTTGCCGCCATTTCTATATCAAGTACTTTTTCTGGTACAGTAACTTTGGTACTTTCCTTTGGTATTATTTCTATATCGAGTACTTTTTCTGGAACCGTTACTCCTATAGTTTCCTTTATTTTGATTTCTTTATCTTCTTTTAAAGGTAAAGTCGACATTTTTTCAAATTGTATATTTTCAATTTGTTGTCGTGTTTGTATCATTTCAGCAGGAAGTTGTGTTTTTTGTTCCATATTTAGAAAGTCTTCTGTTAATTTTCTAGTTGTCATAGCAGCTACTTTACCTTCATCAATTATAGGTGCAGCAGTTTCAATACCATCTAGAGATTTACCAACGATTGAAATTGCATCTTCTAGTTTTTTGACAGACTCGACAAGTTTACTTGTAGCTTCCTTTGTCTCTTCAGTTGGTTTAAAATCATCTATAAATTGTTTGGTTTCAATTTTTGGGGTTGTTACTGTTGTTGCCAAAGGTGCAAACACCTTTGAGGCTTCTTCTTTGACAGCCTCTTTTTTTGTATCATAACTTTCTCTTACAGTTTCGGTAACAGTTTTAAAAGTATCTTTTATTTCTTCAAAGGGTTCGCTTATTTTAGAAATTTCTTTCTTAGTTGTAATATCAACAGTTTCTTTGGTCTGTATAATATTTTCTTTAGCATCTTTCACGACATCTGATAATTCCTCTACTTTACTATATGCATCAGTCTTAAATGTTTTCATAAAATCAACCGACTCTTTCTCAACAGTTTTCTTGACTGTATCTACTGTTTCAAAAACAGTTTTTTGTGTTTCTGTAACAGGAATTGTTGAGGTTATATTACTTGTGATTTTTGCTAAATCTTCTACCGGTTTTTCAACTACTTCATGCTTTACAGATTTGAAAGTATCTTTAATTGTATCTTTTGTAGTTTCCTCAACTTTCTTTCTTTCCTCACTCCACATTTCGGTTTGATCTTTGAAAGTACCTTGAGTGAAACAAATAGATTCATCTAATGGGAAACTTGGTACAGTAGTCATTATTTCACTTGTTATCTTTATTAAATCTTCAAGTGGCTTTTCTGCGAAAGGTGCTATGTGTTCATCTTCAGGAATAGATATTTCTTCTGTAACACCTGTTTTAACTTTTCCAGCTAACCCTTTGAATTCATCCTTCAAAACTGGAATTTTTGTTACTGTGACTGGTAACTGTGTCTGTTGTTCCATGCTGAGAAAATCATGCGTCAATTTCTTTGCATCAATGACTCTTGCTTTCTCTAGTTGAACATCTATAGAAGAAATTTTTTTATCAACGGACTTGTCAAGAGTTTCTACTTTAACAGGTTCTTCAGTTCTAGTTGTGATTAAAACTTTTTCGTCTTCTGTGACGGACTTTATAATTTCTTCTTTTTTTTGTTGTTCCTGCACTTTTGGTTTCTCTACGGGTTGCTTTTGTTCAGTTTCTTCCAATAAAGACTTTCTTTGTTGTACAACTGGTACCCCTACAGTTGTTTCAGTTATTTGCTTAATAGTTTCATTTACTTTTTGAATATCTGTTTTAATTTTTCTAGGCGCTGGTATTTGTGATTTTTGTTCCATTGTTATAAAATCTTCAGTAAGTTTTCTGGCATTAATTTCAGTTTTTTCCGGTGCATCTTTTTTGCCGTCTTTCTTCTCCTCTAAAGATTTTTCAGTTGTTACCATTTTTCGTGGTGCTGCTGCTGGTCCTACGGTAGTGATTTTCGTTTCATCTGATGGTCTTCTTATAAGCTTTGGAATTTTGGATTTAGCTTCAAAATCGGCGATTTTATCTCCGATTTTCTTACTCTCCTGCTTCTCAACCACTTCAACTTTCTCTTGTTTTTTCTGTGTTTCGCTTGGTTTAACTGTTTCGGAAATTAATATTGTTTCTGTAACAACGTTATCTGTATGTATAGTTTTAACTGTTGATATATGTTCACTTTTTTTCTTCTCAATATTATTAGCATCTTTAGTTATTTCGAAAGCAGAAACAATGCTTTCAACCTTTTTTGTTTCTTTTTCTGCAGCATCTGCCGATATCTTTTCTGTTGGAGTAGGAATAGATTTAGTTGGTTTTTGCTCGAATTTTTCCTTAACTTCTTCAACAAACTTTTCGGTTATGGTGATATCTGAAGGAAGTTGGGTTTGTTTTTCTACATTCAAAAAGTCCTCAGTTAGTTTTTTTGTATCTTGCATAGTATCACTTATTTGGGTAGCCATATCCTCAATTGGAGATTGTAATTTACTAGGTTTCTCAGCTGATATTATATCTGCTACTATTTTTAAATTATCAACACTTTCTGGACGTTTTTGTTCTATTAAAGAGTCATCTTCTTCGGAACTTCGACCGGACGTTTTGAATTTATGTGTAAGTTCTTTGTCAAAATCACTTTTGCTAATATCTGTAGAATCCATTTTTCCCATTTTCATTTTAATGACTTGATCTGGGACAATAGCGGACTTAATAATATTATCAGTGGGTAATTGCATCATTATTTCTGATTCATGTATAGCCTTTTTATCTTCGATCAAGCTTTTACGTTTTATTTCAGTAATTTCTCGAGTTATTTCTTTCTTTTGTGTAGATGCTGGTATTTGACGTTCAATTGAAAGTCGCTTCACAATTTTTTCTCTCCTCTCCGCAACTGTACGCTTTGTTATTTCCTCATCAGATTCTGATTCTTCGACCTCTTTTTCTTCAGCAGAATATTTAACCTCATCAAGTTCATGCTGTATTCGTTTACCTAAAAGACAAAAGAAATAAGTAATAAATTTATGTATATATATTTCTATGCATAATAAAAATACATACTTTCTTGTCGAACAAGCTCTTCAACAGATTCTGAGTTTTTCATGATGTCAGTATCATCAAAATCACGAGAATGCGACAAACGCCCACTCTTGCATTTCTTCATTATATCTTCCCGTCCGATATTCTTGAGAGCGTTTTCAAGCGCATGAATATCATAATTTGGTTTATCTTTATATAAGCGTATCATGCTTTGTGCTTGTCTTGCAATGCTATCGGTATTGTGGCTGATAATTTCATCAATTTCTTCTGTAGTGATGCCAATTTCAGTGGCTAATTGTACCCAATCCTTACCCAAAAGATTTGATAGATCGACAATGCGTATATCACCAATATAGTGATCATTCTGATGTTTACTTAAACTAAACAATGAGCTACGATAGGTTGCGGAAATTTTATCAGAGAATACAGTAGTTGAGTCTGGTATCACTGTTTCTGGTAAAACAATATTCAATATACAAATTGGATGTTGTGGTGGTTCGCCTTTTGCAACTTTCGGTTCTTTCATAAACAATGTACGTCCAACAATATCGGCATGTTGATCCTTTACACGTACAGTAAATGGTAAACGATTTTCACGAAATGCTTTAAACTGTAACTGTAATTGATCGCCGGATTTTGTTACCGGTACCAAGTTACCAGCCATTTCAATAAACTGTGGTTTACCCTCTAAAACTTCAACATCACGACTTTTCGCCACTTCTGTGTAAAGCTCCTGTTTTTCCAGTGTTTTATCTTCCCGATCATCTGTCATACAGAACACACGTAAGCGGGCTTCATACGGTTCGATTTTCTTAGCAAAAACTACAAACTTGGCCATAAATGGTACATGTATAACTTCCCTAAAAAGTTAAAATAGATTTTTTATTGATTAAATTTTTAAATAATTATTAAGAATATTTTAATTAAACTGTTATACTAAATTAAACTTAATTAAATTAAATCTATGAAAGTGGAGAGTATAAACAAAAACTTCATTCAAATTCTATTACAAATATAAAACGATATTCGAATAATATTATATAGAAGTAATACAATAATATAAAATTATATTATTATTACTTCGGATAAATAATTTTTATATATTTACTTCATATATATTATTATTTATATAGAAATATTATTGTATAAATATAAAAATATTGTGGTAATATTTTGCAGTTTAATTATTATATCATTTATATCATTTATTAATGCAATAAAATTATTTTAATAGAGGCAAATATATATTAAATATAACAATATATATAACATAATAAATTATTTATAAAATAATAATCCAAACGTATTTTAAAAAATTTTAAAAACAAATTTTATATATATATATTTTTATTACTATATATAATAATATAATTATTGTATAAATGCGTAAATATTTCAAAATATGCTATCAAAGTTATTAGCTCATTATTAGAACTATATAATGTATTATTTATTTTATTATATTTATTTATATAAAAAAAAAAACATTTCTCAAGAAAATATATTAAAAGGAAAATATTGAAAAGAAAATTATGTATATATTTATATACATATTAGCTACTACTTTACATTCTTGTAATAATATGTATAAAGGGACTCCGATTTCCCAGGTGCGCCTGATCTAGTAATGCATTTTTAAACAACGTTTTCCACTGCGTTATATGCCGACATAGCTTAGTTCTCGAAGTTTTAAGCTATAAACTTTTTACATTGATCACACTTACAAATGCAAATTCTTCAAATTTTAACTCCGATATCTCGAAAACTAGAGTGCTAGATGCAATAGTTTTCAACTTAAAGTTCGATATCTTTAAAACCAATCTATATTAAAACCAATCAATCTAACCTATTATAAGTCAATAATGTAATGAAAAAATAGCTGCCTTTACTGAAGTCCCTAATCAAATACTTCTAGTCCCTATTGCTTACATGAAAGTACTGATCATATTTAAATCACAATAAATATTAATATAAAAAATAAATTAATTAAAGAAGAATTAATTTAAAAAAAAAATAAGAACTATTTATTTTAATCTAAAATATATTAATTTATATCTTAAACTTTAAATTATTAATCTAAAAGTAAATATTAATATAAAAATTAATATATAGTATTATTATATGACATACTTGTAGAGTTCGGTTGCCATTCTTGTTGCTTCACCAATATTTCTGCAATCCATTAACCAAAATCTTGCTGAAACAGTTGTAGTAAAGGACACGCAATCATTGACAAAAGTCAAAGGTGTAGAACCGGTAACGTCTTCCCACTGAGCTCTGGACGGTCCTCCTATATAATTTAAATGAAGTAGATTTTTGCATTTAAATTAGAGACAATCGAGTTTGTTTTGCTTACTCTTTGTTTTATATATGTCAAATACAAAATTCTACTGTTGTCTTATTAGCAGATATTTAAATTATAAATAAAATTAATAAAGAAATTTTTAATTAACTAAAAAAAAACAATAATCTGAAATTAGCTTATATAGCCTTGATTTGAACAAAACAGTAAGCAATTAATTTTATAAAATTAGTTTAAATATTATAATAAAAATATGAATAATAGATGCAAATGTTATGTATTATTTTTATTATAATAAATATTATTATTCATTAATATTTTTTTTGTTTTTTTTTTTTAATTTTTGCAAGCAATAAATTTGCATTAGCATAATATAGAAGGTACTCTATATTATTTGAACTATTCAAAAAAAATTGAATACTAATGAAGCAACATGCTGAATAATATTAAATATATAATTTTATATGATTGTGATAGAATAAATTTGTTGTGTGTTATGTTTTGAAATAGAACTTTAAAAAAAATTAATATAACAAACTAAGAAAGTTTATCAAAAATAACTTAAATTGCCAACATTTCAAAAACATAACTTTTAAAAATCATAATGTACAATATATTTTCAACATTTTTAATGAAATGAGTATAATTGTGTATTTTTAATGCTAAAATTAACCCAACTCGTATGTATAGCATAAAAAGTTTTTTTTTTCTGAGTTTCATAATTTTTAATAGATATATTTGAAATCATTTTTATTATATCTAAACTTATCAGACAAAAAGGCTTTTAGTTTCAGAAAAGTTCTCTTTGGTGCCACAAATTGGTGTTTACAGATCTATAGTTATATTTATTATTAAATAATAAATAATTGTTGTATTATAAGAAAATATGCATCTGCTATTTTTTAATCAAAAAATTAAAAAAAAAATAAAAACAAAAAACAAAAAAATAAATAAGTGTACAGTAAAAAATAATTTTATTTGACGATATAAGCAAATATATTAAATCATATAAATCATAAATAAATCATACTTAAATAGTTTATTAATTAATTTCATTATAATTATTTTATAATGATTTTTATTTTATATTTGTATTAATAGAATTTTTTTAAAATAATAATTTTTTTGATAATTATAATTAATTGTTATTAAGACCAATTTACAACAAGTTTTTGTTTATTACAGGGCTTATTTTAATTATTTTTTTAATAATTATAATTAATTGTTATTATGACCAATTTACAACAAGTTTTTGATTATTACTGGGCTTAGAACATTTATTTAAAATAAACGTTCTAAGTCCGATAATAGTCAGAAAACTTTAATAATTATACTTATAATTCAATAATAATAATTATAATTTTTCCAGTTTTTTTTACGCCATAAATTATTCTTATTAGTATTTTCTTATTATTTTTTTGAAAATTACTTTTAAAATTTATCAACTTCGAAATTTTTGATGAGTGTTGCTATATAAATTTAAATTTAAGCTATATATATATATTGATAAGACTTATGTGCGAGTATATAATATATTTTATATAAGAACTATTATTTTTATTATAAAAAATGATTTAATTATTATTTTTATTAATTTTTATTATTTTTCATGTTTATGAAAATTTTAACAACACAATTTATTAAATTATTTTATAGTGGAATTATTATATATTTTGAATTAATTGTTATTATTAATTAATTATTATTAATTCAAACAATATATAATTCTTAATTATATCACATATATCATTAGTTATATCATATATACCATTAATATATATCATATATATCATTATATATCATATATCATTAATTCTTTTGATAATTAGCATATATTATATATTTAATATATACAATATCTAATTTTAACAATTAAAAATAAAAATAAAATTTCTTATTTTTAATTAATTTTTAAAATATTCAAAAAAATAATTTTTGACAACTTAATGAACAGCTAAACAAATTAAACAAATTGTTTTTATTACTACTATTATAAATAATTTTATTTTATTGTTTTAATTATTATTAAAAACATTGAAAATAAATTTTAAAACTGTTATCTTTAATTTCATTATAATTACAATTATAATTATTATTATTAATTATATTATTAATTATATTATTAATTATTTTATTAATTATTTATTATTTTATTATTATTATTTATTTTATAATTATTAACTATTATTATTATAATTATTAACGATATAATTATTAATAAAACCTGTATTTTACTTTCGTTTATATCAATTATTTAATACTATAATTTTTTGTAATTACCGTTAATATTTTTATTATTAGTTGATATATTAGCCTTATAAATTAATATTATAATTTTTTTATCATTACTGCTACTATTTTTATTATTAGTTGAAATGTTAGCCTTATATTAGAACTGTATCATAGTAATAGCAATAGTAATATTTTTATTTTATTTTGTAATAATTGTTTGATTTTCAATATAGCAATATTATTATAATGTATTAATTACCAATACTAATTATATTATTTATGAGTTTATATTTAAATTAAGATAATTAATTTAGTTCATCTTATTAATTTAAAAAGAAAATAAAGGAAACAGCAAAAATAAAATTAAAAATTAAAATGTTGGTTATTATTTTTAACATTTTATTATTATTATAGTATTTAAATAATTACATTATTTATTTAAATATATAAAATTATATTTATATTACATTATTATATGTATTATATTACATAATTATTTTATAATTGAAATTTTAAATTATTATGACTTTATAAATTATAATAAGTTTTTTATATTCTATTAGATTAATTGAATTAAAATATTTTTTTTAATTATATAGGAAAAAATTCCTGAACTTTTATGTTTATATTGTAATTTTATATAAAATATTTTTATAGTGCATTTTAATATATTTATTATAATAATATAGGATATATCAAATTACCGCTTCTTTATAACTTTTTTTTTTAATTGTGTTTATTATTAACACTACATGAGTATTATACATTATACTGATATAAAAACAAATTTATATAACAATTATAAATATTTGTAAGGACAATATTTTTATATTAGTTAAATTGAAATTAAAAGTTAGCTTAAATTAAAAAAAAATTAATTCTTGAAATGTTCTAAAAAAATTAAAATAATTAGTTTTTTTAGCACTGAATAAATTAAATAATATTTTAATTTAGAAAATAAAAATTCAAACCATATTAATTTTTATTCAAATCATGTCATATTAACATGTTAAAGATCAATTTATACATGAGTTTTGTTTTTTAAAATATAATTTAATATAGGCCCAAAGAGTAACATATATCTATTACATTTTTTTTTAATATAACAATTTTAAAATCCCTATTATCAGTGCAAAAACTTCAAAAATCCTGTGTTCTCATAAACAAAACAAAAAAATTCATTAAAAAAGCTAAATTAAAATCAGCAAGCTTTTAGAATAAAAAACATAATATTTCGTTTAATAATATTTAAAATATTTTTAATTAATTATATAACGTATTTTAAACCATAATATTGTATTAGCATTCAAATTTATGTACATATGACGCGGCTTTTATGAGAATATTAAAATTGCATGTGGTAAATTATAAAAAATCAATCACTTAAGCATTAAAACAAGAATGTTTGAATTCTAAAATATTATTTTATTTTATTAAGTTTTTTTTTCATCTAAATAATACCTAGCATCTTATTAGCTAACCATTCTTATTTAAATATCATATTGTGAATTGAGTGATATAAAATGAACTTATAGTAAACTACTTTCATATTAAATTAAATTTTATTAGAAAACTGTCAATAACTATGTTTTAAATAAAATTATTGGCTATTTATATAGTTGTTTCAATTAATGTCAAATATCAGTCACCAGTGATATTTAGTTAAATATTATTTTTATAATAATCACTGAAGATTTGTAATTGAGCTGCCATATTAACAGATTCGATATTCAAAACAGTTATGAGTTCAAATTGCACTTATCTAATAATTTTTGTCAATTTTTTTACAAAAATATCCGAAGTATAAAGTATAAAAGAAAATTATATTAAAAAGTTATTAAATCTTTAATAATTATCGCTGCCTTTACATCTAGCTTTATCATTAGAATCGCCTTTTTTATTTACTTCTATAAGAACGTAAGTAAAAAGCCCACACTTCATACTTTACTAATTTAGTAAAACATAGTTTCTTTTTAAGAACTAATCAAAAATTAGTTAGGTGATCGGATTCGAACACCCATTCAATTCTGTAGATTCGAAATTTATCACAGAGAATATTGGACTGCGACAATACCTCTAATAGAAAACTGGATTTTGATAGAAAAATGTCACTGTTGGCATGCCACACCGCCTAAATGCCACACCGCCTTTGCCTATGGTTTGTTATTACATCTACAGATTATTATTAATAACCTGAAATTATTATTAATATCCGATTAACAGATTATCTGATAAGGCACTATTTGTGACTATCTGACTATGATGTGGGCCAATAATTAGCCATATAACCCCCATCGCCATTTAATATTAAAAAATCCTCAACAGATACTATTTTAACCCACATGAGAAGAGCTGTGGATCCACTGTTGAGTTTGGTTCAGTTTTTAGTGCAAAAGCTATTCAATAGTTACAAGTGTTCTGTTTCATTAACAGCCAGTATACCATTAATTTATATACTATTCGATTTAAAATATTTGTTCAGTATTATATTTATTTATACTACAATCATTAACAACGATACATAACTGCTCATCTAACACAACAATATTAAAATCTTTAGTTTATTACGTTAAAATTAATAAAAATATCTATAACAAAATCAAATCATTACTTAAAACATATGCTATATAAACTTATTCTTTTGTTATTAATATTTAAAAACTATAAAAAAATGTAACCATTTTAAAACTATTTTAAATTAGAAAATATTTTATACAAGTTGATCAATTTGTTAATTTATTGTTAATTCATATTAA